GTCAAGTTGTAATGAATTTATTATTATTATTATTATTATTATTATTATTATTATTATTATTATTATTATTATTATATCTCAAAAACAGATAAAGTTATATAACCTATTGAAAATTATTAGGAAGCCGACATACAATTTGGGCCCCCACTCCTCGAGATATAGAAAAGTCTATCCTAGTAAAAATATGAGCAGCAGCACTAGCCCCAAAATTTTGAGTCGTCGAGAACTCTTGGATCCGCTTCAACAACGCAACCGCCTCCTTGTCTCATTCCCCAAGTGAAGAAAAGGAGAAGGGAAGGAATCCATATTCAATTGCTCAACAACTGGATTCGTACTTGACCTCCTTTCGATAAGCCGTATCAGCCACAACTCGTTGAGGAACGAAGTCAGATAGCCCAAAATGCGTCAAAGGAGAAGACCCTGTCAAATCAACACAAACATCGCAACCACGATCCCATGAATAAAGTAACAAATCTGCAGGTCTGAGGGCTCTGTCGTTCCCTCCAGACAACCCTATATCAACCTCCTTTCTAGCTGAAATCCCATATCGATAACAAACATTAACAAGGGTAAAGGTGGGCACGGGCCGGGTTGGCCCAGCACGGTCTTCGGCACGGCCCACTACCTGGCCCGGCCTGGCACGGTGGTCGCCGGACGTGCCGTGGGCCGTGCCACGAACAGCGAATTCATTTTTTTGGCCCGACCCGGCACGAGCCCGCTGTTGGCCCGCCGTGCTGGCCCGCAGGCACGACCCGCGTGCCAATGGTAACAAACGGCTATAAACGGCCATTTTTTCCGTTGCTCCAACGGCCATAAACGGCCATTTTTTCTCCAATTTCTTTCCCAAATTCCCTATAAATACCTAATTTCATTCACTTCCCAAATCACAAATTCACAATCTTCTTCTCTTAATCTCTTATATTCTCTAATAATCCTTAATCTCTTATATTCTCTAATAATTCTCTTAAATTCTCTAAATATTATTTCTTAATATCGGAAAAAATTAAAAGTTCGTAATTGTAATTAGTGGAAAGTGTTGAAGCACAGTTGTAAGATCTAAACTAATCTTTAATTTATTATTATTGTTATTGTTATTGTTATTATTACAATTATTGTTATTAATTATTATTGTTGTTATTGTTATTGTTATAATTGTTGTTATTTATTATTATTATTGTTAAAATTGTTGTTATTAATTATTATTGTTGTTAATTAGTTATTATTAAAATTATTATTGTTAATTATGGCATTGAACAACCCATCGTCTAGGGGGAAGGGGAAAGCCCGACTTGTCCGTGGTAGTAGTTTTAGGGAATCACCTAATCCAACGAGCCCCCACCACCAAACCAACTTCCACCACCAAACCAATTTCCACAATTCGGTCAATTCCCACCAAATTACTTTGACCCACAAAATTTTTATTCTAGCCAAGGTAGCCAACAAACCCTAAATGCCTCCGGTTCTACTACTAACCAACAAATTCCGATTCTATAAACACTCAATTCCCAAACACACATGAGGAATGATTAACCGAATGTGAGATGGTACATATCAAAAGCTGCAAAAGTGAGGTATGACGTTATTTCCTCCTAAGTAGAGACCAAACAAGAGCAAAATGTAAAACATGTGGTCATCCATTCTCGGAAAAATCCAAATCGGAGACGGGACACTTAAGTAGACACATGAGAAGTTGTGTAAAACCAGCTAGTGATCCAACCTAGCCAAAAATTTCCCAATTCCATCCACACGGCTTTACCTACAACTATGAGAGGGATAGGATGAACTAGGGAAAATGATAGTGCACGCCGAACAACCTTTTCTTTTCTCCGAAAGTGACTAATTTAACACTTACATTAACAAAGCATTACAACCCCAACATAAAAGAATCTCTAGGAAAACCGTTCATTCCGCCGTCATGAAAAACTTCCTAGAGTACAAAATGCGGTTACAAAACGAATTGAGTAACCTTAACTTCAGAGTGTCTTTGACTGTCGATTCTTGGGATAGTGGTTATAAATATCACTATTTATGTGTGACTTGGCATTGGGTAAATGATCAATGGTTGTTACAAAAACGAATAATTCATTTCAAAATGCTGGAATACCCCCACATCGGTATTAATAATGCTCACCATTTAATCGAAGCAATCAATGAATACAACCTTCGAGATAAAATCATGTCTATGATATTTGACAATGCAACCGCAATGACATATACTGCTAATTATGTCAAACAAAACTTAACCGATGTAATATTAAATGGTGACGCACTTCATACTAGATGTGTTTGTCATGTTCTTAACTTGTGTGTACAGGATGGACATAGAGCAATGGGTCCATACTATAACAAAATAAGAGAAGCTATTATGTCCATTAATAGCTCAAATATGAGATACCAAGAATGGAAGAGTTTTCTAAGACAACAAAAGATAAGGGCAATAAAAATCAAAACTGATTGCCCAACTAGGTGGAATTCCAACTATGACATGTTAACCAACGCAATTGAGTACAAGAATCCTTTGACAATTTTTACAACCAAAAATTTCCAAAGAATGGTATATATATGGATGATTGGGATAAATGTAAACGATATATGAAATTTTTACAGTTATTATATAACATGACGTATTGTTTTTCTTCTGTTTATAATCCTTGTGCTCAAAACTTTCTTTCAAATGCATGTTCACTCGCCCAACTTTTCGCTGATCATCGCAACCAAAGAGATTATGATCAGTATCTTCCAACAATGGAAACAAAGTGGCGTAAATATTATACTAAAATTCTTTTGATTTATATTTTTGCTTCCATATTAAATCCTAGGCAAAAGTATGAAAATACATTTATGTTAGTTGACATTTATTTTCAATGCATGCTTCTTGACGATAATGTAGAAACGTATAAGAGTAATGTGAAGGATCAGTTTTTTGCTTTTTATAGAGTCTGTGAAGCCAAATATGGCACCGTTCTTCACTCAGGCCCTTCCCAACCATCCAAAAACGTAAATAAGAAGGCCAAACATTTATTTTCACAAGCTACTAACTTGATTTCAAGGTTTTCAAGTGATTCATCAATAAGGAGAACGCAAAGCGATGTCTCGGAGTTGCAAATGTACCTGAGTTACGACTTCACCAAGGGCATGGACGACAATGAGATAAACAGCCTCGACCTCCTTGCATGGTGGAAACAACAAAGCATGAAGCATCCAACTTTGGCGGCAATGGCACGAGACACTCTTGGTATCCAAGTCTCCTCCGTTGCCTCTGAGCGAGCTTTCAGCGCATCCGGGAGGGTTTTAGACGATAGAAGAACAAGTCTAAAACCCGAAAAACTTGAAATGTGCGTGTGTTTCAAAGATTGGTTGGATGCGGAAAATCGCTCACAAGACCGTTCTTACGACGACAACGACAACGATGAAGGAACCTCCGCTTCCGACCGTTCGGGTTCGGCTAGTTCCCAATCTATGCAACTAGCCGATGACCTTAAAGCCGAAGACGAAGACGAAGAAGACGAAGAAGAAGAAGAAGAAGAAGAAGAAGAAGAAGAAGAAGAATAGACAATTTTTGTATATTGTACGATTTTTATCATTATCAATATTATCATTTTACGAATTTTATCATTATCCAATTTTTGTTTAATATCCTTGTACGATTTTTATCATTATTATCATTGTACAATTTTTTTAAGTAATAATAATATGAAGTATGCATTATTCACATCCAAAGTCCAATTTACCTTTTTCTCCCGTTAAGTTATAATTTGTAAATTAATATAACAAAAATAAAATTATAATAATTAATAATACAAAAATAAATGTAATAAATTATAAACATTAAACTATAAAGTAATAGTATAAACTAAATACATAAATTTAAATATTAAATATAAAAAATAATAAAATATAAATATTAAACTTAATTTATTTTAGAAAAATAATAATATAAGATTATAATTTATAAGTTATAAACTATTAATAAATAAATAAAAAAAAAAAGGAAGGAAAGGCAGCAGGCCAGCATGGCACGAACCCGCCTGGCATGTGGGCCATGCCGTGCCGTGGGCTGGCCTGCGATTTTGGGCGGCATGCCTACTCCGGCACAACACGCCGGAGACCGTGGCCCGCCAAGCACGGCCCGTGGCGGCACGACACGATGCACACCTTTAAGCAAGGGTATTCCGAACAACATTACGCCGATGTTGGTGTGTTACGCATATCAATTCTCGCACTAGCATCATGCCAAATTATCATTTAACATCATATTCTTGCACTAGCATCACGCTACATCATCATTCAACATTTTCATTTCATGTCATGATTAACTAAAAATGCATACAAAGAATTGAATACTAAAGCTCATTGAATAGACCATAGAATAATCTAATAAAATATGGTATAAATCAATAGTTTTGTGAGTTGTGACACTCTACCTTAGGATTTGGAGGGTCACTAGTTCACTACACAAAGGCCACAACACCTGGTATACTGAATTACTGATAGGCAAGCATCCAGACTTGTAGCGCCTAGCGATCCAGCGTTACTCAAGGGTTTTAGCCCACTTCTATTCTTGCCTAGTATATTGTCAATTTGTCATACTCACAAAGCCCAAGCTGCACTACCCAACGCTACTGAATGGACACTAGCCAGTACAACTCTTTTATCACGGGGGCCTACTTTAATTTGACTTACATTCTTTTCTTTTTTAGTTGCAACGATTATTTAAATAAACTTGGCCATTGTTTAACTATTATATGAAAAAATTAATGTTTATATCCATGGTATTTCATGATCAATCTCTCAATGTATATATTAAAAATTTCAACATCGTAATCTTATTTGGTTGATAGTTGAGACTTTGGAGCATTAATCTAACATAATTTTGCTAGAAATGAAGAATTATTCTGTATCTGACTATCTGTACCATTATTCACCCCTGCCGCCTGCCCTTCCCAAAAAAAAAAAAAAATAATACTGTAACTCACAACTCATTCATTTACTCAGTAAAAGAAAAATAATTGAGGATATTATTATGATAAAACAGTCATTGATAATAATATGTAATAAAAATCATGAGTATGATGGAACAATCAAGGTTACGTCACAGTAATATCAACTAAGATTATTAACCTAAAACCCTTGGGTTAGATCCTACTGGAAACAAGCTCACAAAAAAATGAAACTAGATCAAACTAGAAGAAAGCACCACAAATTAACGAATTTTGTACGCAAAGCACTCAAATCCTAGAGTAAGATATACTGTCAGGGTCACACTCTATACTGAGTAGTGATTATTGTCTCTCATCTACTATTTACAATCCCAACTTCAGCTGTTTTTTTTGTAGGTTTACTCAACTGGAAAACAGGATGCCTGCAAAGTTTTTTCACCCCCTTTTTGAAGTTTAATCTTTCCAATATCCCTTCCACTTCTCTATCTTCATCTTCAGACTCGGCAGCCACGGACATAACAGGAGAACTGTCACGTGCATTTGAGCCACATGATTTATCTTCAATGTTCTTATTCTGAGATTTTCGATGTTTTCTTTCAGGACTGAATTCTAGTCGGTCTAAAGTGACACTTCTCATAAACTTTTTGCTTTGCACTTGATCACAAGAACTTGTTGTGTTGCTTTGCTGCTTCTCAAAAATCATTTCTCCTATTGAAACAGATTTGTGTGGATTGCTGGTAGGGGTGTTTGAGGTGTCAGCACATGATGATGACAACATCCTTGCATTCTCTGCAGTGTCTTCTCTTGATTGGACGGTTTTCACAATCAATGTTTTAAGGAAATTCATCACTTGTACGGCGTGGATCAATGCTGTCAATGGATCAGCCATCTGCAAAGCACAGATAATTTAGCTGTATGAGATACAACAACATAGGCATGTTTTAAAGGTAAGCATGGACCAGGCATTGGCCAAAAAAGGTCTATTCGGGGCCTGGGGCTTGGGCAGGCCCTGAAATATACCCTAGCATGCTATAAGTCCCAAGCCAATTCGAAAAAGATGCTCTAAATCAAGATGAGCTTTGGGGAAAAGAATCAAACATCATAGACCTATTGTCTCAATAAGCCAGCATTATTGGCAGAAGATGGAACTATGGCCGTCAACAAATTAGGGGGAATTCAGATTCAGAGTAAAAAGTAAGTTCACCTGAGTCATGTTTGGCGCAAAGACCATGGCAATATTCCGCGCATTCATCTTGTTATGATGTTCATACTGCACGACGTCTGCCATCAAATTGATGGCCCAGTCAAGGAGTGCAGCTTCCATTGGCGGAAGCAATTTTACAAGTTGAGTGCACTGATCTTCTGTATTGCAGTGCATTACCTGTTCTGCTGTAAGACAATCAAGTACTCCTTTTGGCAGTTCTCTAAACCAGGCCTGCAGTACCAGTAAACAATACAAGGTATGTCAGCCAAGTGTAATTTTTTTTATCCAGTTAACCCCAATTATACTTTGTTTTTAATACATTAACCACAAGGTCATCCTAATCCCTAGGTAGCTGTGGAAGGACTTTTTTTTTGTTGTTGTTATACGAAGGTTTTTTTTTTAATTTTTTTTTTAAAATTTAGTTCTCTATTTAGTGTGTTCTTGATATATAGAGCAGTTGGTTGAGTAGAATTAGTCCCTGCGAAGCTAGAGGAGAAAAGGAGTGAACCTAACCCAACCACTGGGATGCCAGGCACCGAATTGGAATTCAAGGTTCGGATGTGGGATCTCTACCATTAAATCCCCACATGAATCTCCTGTCCTCCATTATTGTTTTTGAAATTGATGAAACTAAGACAATCTTATACTTCATACATATAAATGTTTACTGCTTCTATAACAACCAAGAGAAACAACACAATGTCTGTTTGAACCTTAGCTAAGTTAAAGATATTTATATATTAACTTTCCTATGTAATGATGAAAGATTGGAATTCGCATGTCACTCACTTTGCAGTAGGTGAAGATGAATAAGCAGAGCAGCTGCTAATCTGCAAACATAAATCAATTACTGAATCGAGTGATTACCTTTATTAGTCCTGCCAAACAATGAACATCAATTGCCTGTGGAACTATCCCTTTGTTCAATTGACTCCGAACACTCTCTTCATGGCTATTTTCAGCAGTAATTCGAAAAATTCCTTCAGCCTACAAAAGGAGGTGAAGAAAAATAAAAACATATCAACTGTTACACTGGGTTCAGCTAATACTTAATCATATCACTTTTTAGACTTTCAATTGCACAAACATACTTGAAGGCCTCCTTCCTCGTATAGGCGCTTTTGCATCATAAGAAGTATATTTGGTACACTATTTCCTCGCTCATCAATAGAACATTGCATTGACTGAGGAGACACACCAAATACACTCGCACTGGATAACACCAGAAAATCCAAATATCAAGATAATGCACAAAATATATAGCTTAAACAAGAAAAAGAACATTCTACTGCAAGTCTGCAACCATCAGTCAAGACTCAAGATAAGAAACTGCCCTATGCATTGACAGCAAAAGTGCAATAAATAGTAGTTAATGGGGGAGATATTGTTTCATAATTCTCTGAACAACAAGCTAGCAGTTCAAGAAACTTATCCTGTTATCTAATATGACAATTTATCTGACAATCTAAACTGCCTTAGTTCGAGTTCTTTAACATTCCCCAGCCAAATACAACTTATCTATCTGGATAAACCATCAACAGGCCGTTAAAGTTACCACTCCAATTGTTCACCTAATCATAATTGGGGTAGGGAAAGGGAGCAAGGGGAAGAGGAAAAAATTGAAGAACTTCGCGAAAAAGAAGACTCAAACGGATTAAAATAGAAGCTCCAACACATATTCATTTTCGGAATGACAGAACGAATTGAGGAACCCGAAAGGAGGGAGCTCCCTAGCTGATTTGCCAAAAGCTGCTGGAACAAACAGCGCACAAAGGATATCTCTAACTTGTACAATATCCTTAACCCATGAAAACCCCATGTTGATGCAAAGTATCCTTCATTCTTAAATATACTCAATTCTTGGCTATTTCTTAAAGCATACTTAGCAAGTCATTCCAATTACAATTTACAAATTTACATCATCTTTAAGCTATCACATTCGCACGAAATCGAACCTAGACGTAATTAAAAAGGGTGCAAAACATACATTTCAAGTAATTTTGATACAAAACCCTTCAAATTCACCTTGCTTGAGATACTCATATTCATCTTTATATAAACAACATTAAATTTCAATACTTCCCACAATCAACATACATTATTAATCTTCACCATTGATTCAAATCTAGAGTTATAATTCACCAATTAAAATTAAACATATCACCCTCCAAAAATAAATAAAAATTCAACAAAACAGATCTCAAAAAGAGGAAAATTAAATAAAGTAAATCTGACCTTGCACTAGGAACCCTTTGAAGAATATCAGGCTCAAATTCATCAGGCAAACCCAGAAATCCCTTAAAACGATCAAAAGTAACATGAGAAATATGTCTAACATTTGTAGGGCAACTAATTTCCAAGGAAGAAACATCATTATCTTCTCTCTCAACACTACAAGTCACTAACAATGATTTTCTAAGTGCCGCCGCCATAAACGTAAGAATTGGAAACTGCCCACTTCCATTTCCATTTCCATTCTCTCTCCTACCATTTTTATCAAATCCTGGGCTTATTAATGGCGTTGATATTGGGTCAAATTCATCTTCATAATTCTCATCTTCTTCCTCTGTTTCTTCTCCTTCTTCTTCCCAAACAGAGGAACTCGGGGGTGAGTCAACTGAGTCGCACCCGAGTCGACAAGACTTGGATCGGAATAAAAGGGTCATGATGTTATGCTATGATTGTTATGTTGTGGATTGCAAACAACACCATAACATCACTGGAAAAACAGCGAAGAAATTCTTTTATAATAATAATAATAATACGTAGTAATATGAATTGACAAGGGTAGTGTATAATATAAGAAATGAATAAATAAATGAATGTTTGATTAAAGATTTAAAGGAGGGGGTTGCTTAAAAAAGAGGAATGAAGAAGATTGAAATGTAATGGAATGGATGAGTTTTTGGAGAAGAAAACAAAAGACGAAAAGGTTGGAGTTGGTTTTTGGAAGTTATAAACAACAAAAGAAAGTAAGTGGGTAATTTCTGGGTAGTGTAGCAGTACTGCAAATCCGTGACTCAGTAATAATTTACACTTCTTCCGTCCTTAATACAATATGCGGAATACTCTTATATCTATACTTTTATTTTCACGGTTTAACATTAAATCTTTAATTATAAATTCATAATTCATAAATTCTCATTAATATATACTCAATATTGACAGTTAAAAATACATCTTAATAAAACCAATCAAATAAGACAGACACTATACGAATAATACGATATAGTATGATAATGAAGGAGTAATTATAATATTAATAGTCGAGTAATAAAATTACACATGGACATAATGATAGTGGAATTGTGAAGCAAAATTGGCAACGAAATGGAGAATGTGACATCTCAAAATAGCTGTATTGTTGTACACTTGTACTCGTATTTGTAAAATAATGTCTAGCATTCAGTGTAAATCTTGATTTAATATTGTAAGCAAAAGTCGTAGTCATGGGACCATTTTTTGAGAGTACCTTATGTGTTACCTTAATTGTGATAGTGTCATATTAAGTGTGAGGATATCTACCATATACTAGTAATCATTGTTGCCACTATTTTCTTGTGAAATGCAATCCATTGTTTTTTAGATTTTAATCTAGCTAGTCGACTACTCATAGGTAATAGGGTTTAAGTATTTCGATAACAATAATCTAAATATGTATTTCGATACTAACCTAATTATATTTGGTTTATGATTTTCCCCCTTAAATAATTAAGGTGTCAAGACGTTTGAAATTAAAAAAACATACTCTATATCACTCTTAGGTGGTAGGGATTTGAATGCAATTGAAAATGTAGGATATCGATTAGGGTAGTTGTAATTAAGGTTTTGTGAAAGGACATTATCGATTTACATTGCCTATATTTATTAATATTATTGAATAAGTTGTATTAAATGATCATCTGCTACAAATTTAGAGGCAAACCCCAATATATACACCTAATACAATTCCCTTATACATAGTATATTGAAGTCTGGCTTTAACCCGATTCCTTTTATCTACCTCATATTTTGGCCAAGTTTATCAACCACTTATTATTCATTGTTGGCCGATTTATGGTGCACTTAATGTGTTATCACAAACGTGTAATAATATTATTTATTGATATTAACTACTTGTGTTTAACTACGTAAAAACAAAATAGATATTATTCATAAGGCGAATAAGGACGTTTGATCTAGTAATGACATAAGCGCTATATAAAGCCTTTGTCTCCAATAAACATATGTAAGGACCTTAATTTTGAACTATAATGTACGTACAAACATAATTGACATGTATTTTCTTATTTAAATTTAAGTTAAGAAAAGGAAACAACATTACTCAATATGTTTGTATTTAGCAGTATTCTAGCTAAAATGAAATGTATAATACGAGTATTTGGAATCTAGACAATACTTTAGTATGTAGCAACAAATAAAATGAACGAAGGAGCATAATGAAAGAATAAATTAAAGCTTCGTTTTTGTTCTCTTGTTAATGTGATTATCTTAATCTTATTCATTTTAGTCACTAAATTCCAAATTAATTAAGAAGACAAATGCATTTACCTTATTAAATTAATGATAAGTGAAAGAAATTTTATTAAACTAGATTAATTTTACTATATGTTGGATCTTCTTAGTGCATGTATTGACTAGTATTTTGTCACGATTTATATACTAGATGAAATTAAAATATAAATATGAATCAATGTAATGGGTAATAGTTAGCCGACCAACCATTGATTCATGAATTATGAATAAAGAATCTAGCAAAAAAGTAGGGATGTTACAAGAACTGGATCCATGCATAGGCGACAAAGAACGACATGGATCTCGTCATTTCCCTCGCATATTTATATTACTAAAACTGCTCGATCTTCCTATTATTTATGCATCCTAATTTGAAATTAATGACAGTCAATTTATGCTGTTTTTCATGGAATGAAGCTAGGCCTTTGTCATGCAATCGTGTGATGGTAGTGTACTGTAAATTTGTAATCTATATATACTCCGTAATAACTTATGTGACTATAAGGTTAGAGTGAATGATTGATTGCTCGGACCTACACGTGAGAAAGAATTAGTTGTCCTAAAAAAAGAATGTCTAACAAATAAGATTTATGGATTACTCCATATATCACCAATTGATTTAGGATGAAACCTTATCGAACTTAAAATGTGTGAAATTGTGAATACATGCAATTGATTATAAAGAGCTTTTATTATTTGAACAGTGAACACATGTATGTTTCATGTGTCAAAAAAGAAACAAAAACTACATGATGAAGTAGCATAGTAACTCGGCATGCTTGGATTGGAGGAGATGTATTACTAGGGTAATGAAAGTCAAACTAAGCAAAATGAAAGTGAATATGGGGAAGGAGGAGATAGTGATGGTGTGATTGTAAGGAAAATTATGTAGTGACGGTGTAGTATGAGGTGAAGAAAGAGGAACTAATACCCTCATTTTGGGGGTAATAGTTACACTAGGGAGAGGGTGGATAACTATTACCTTCATTATGAGGATAATAATTCCTCCATCTCTCTCTTTTCCTTATGGCACAACTACTTTTTTTCATTTGTAAACACCTTGTCTCCTAAAACAACCCCTCTAATTACTTATGTTTTTTAAGTTTGACTTTTATTACCCCCTTAATATATTACCCCCAACCCAAACATGCCCTTATAAGTAGCATAGTAAGATATAACTTTAATTCTCTTTCTTTTTGGTTTTCCACTTTTAGGAGAGTCACTGTCCCGCAGAGAACTCTCCTTATGTACTTTCGGATATTTTGTCCATGAATTAATGCATTAACTCTGCGTTTCCCTAAAAAAAAAAAAAAAAAAAAAAGCATAGTAGCTTGATCCATGGTGAGACACACTCGTAAATAGAATTGCAAAAGCAGTAGCTTTCAAGCCACCCTAAGTATCATTTCCTTTCCCTTAAAAATAGCGTGTTCGTTGGCCGGAAATTTGGGAGGAGACTTCCAGTTCCACCTGGCTCATCAATTTTAGCTCAAACTCTCAAAGGCTGATTTATACAAGTATATAAAAATAATGTGCCTTGATTTTGAGTTACTTCTTTCAAATGATCAAAGACAATCAACCTACCATTGAGTGAAAAAGTTTTAACACCACCCTTTTTTAGAAGAGATTGTAGAGATATATATTTCGTACGTATGATTCATGTTTGCTAACTTTTCCATTCTTTAAGTCATTAAACTAAAATGAATAAATCGTGTCAAATACATCTGTTTATCTATCAGCTTATCAAGCAAGATGTTCAATTAAAGACCACTCATTTTGAGTAAAGTATTAATAACATATTGAAAAGGTGAGATAACATGCATATCCAGTTGAAAGAACTGAATTAGTAAAGTCTATACTTATAAGGCGGCGCATGCATTAAGTGAAATAAATTGAGTGATGAATAATCAATATTTAAGATGATGCATAAGTTTCCAAAAATGAGAAGTTGATGCATGAAAGAACTATAAATTGTAAGTTAGGTGAGCAGGCAAATTTGGGATGACCTTATCCATCCGAATATAAGCAAATTCATTGGGATTAGGATTAGCTATCTGTTGGAGGGTTAAGCCAACAAATCATACCTATTATTATTGTGATTCCTTAAGAAATAAATTGTACCCGTTTCTATGTCTCTATTTGAAGGAATTTGATTTTCTTTAAAGTAGTGGCACCAAAATCCATATAAATAAAAAATAAAAATTGATGAGCAAGTGTGCAAGAACAAGAATGATAAGATATGTAAGATCGTTTCATTGGTGGGTATTAGGCTGTTATCATTAAAAGGGACCATTATTTTAGTCATACCAATTCTTGACCTGCACATGACACCATTTTTTGGTATCTTGTCTTCTGGATCTTAATGTAGACTTTAGTAATTATTAAATTAATTAAATTATATTTAATTATATTGTTAACTGTTATGGTTAAAATATACAATAAGACTTGGGGATAAACAGAAATAAAGGCCCATTTAGTTTGGGCTATGAGTTGGGCTTGCTGCAATTATAGTTTAGAATGTTTATTAACCTAAATTGGCAAGATCAAGATGGGTCAAAGGGCTACAATTTGTAATGGTCTAAGCTGTACCTTATTCTAACTGCAACACCAGCCCACAAGCCTAATTTCAAATGAAAATTTTACCCTACACCCTAGTGTAGGGTGTGTTCCCTACACCCCCCCTATGCTACGTCGTTTTGTAGCTGGTATTGAGTTCTCATGTGCAGCTTCTTTCCTTTTGCGATTCTTTCCTTTTTTTTTTTTTTTTTTTTTTCCTTTTTTTCTTTTTTTCTTTTCTTCCTCTTTTTTCCTTTTTCCTTTGATTCTTATTATTCAATTTATGTATATATATGATTTTAAACCCTATTTTTTCTCTCTCTTCAATTGATCAACCAACCTCCATTTTTGATCTACATTTTTCTCTCGCTAATTCATCTTCTTCATTTGATTTTTTGAACGAATTCGTTAATTGTTACCGATCATCAATGGCGAATTCTGCATCTGGAGATTGCGTTGATTTTGATCGCGATTGCGAGCGTGTGTTTCCTTCTGGACTTCGTTTCGTTGATTCGTTTGTGCAACAATGTGAGTAATTGTGATCATAATTTTTCAATTTTTAATTATCCCTAATTTGTTCTGTTATAATGCTCTGTTAATTTGAACTTAATTGATGTATTATTATTCACTTTCGATTTTTGAATTTACTACTTTGATTACATTATGATGAACGTTTTTGGATTGTTGTACTTTGTATGAACATTTTGTTGCTTCATTTGTTGTTTCATTTGTTGTTTTCTCTGTGTTTTAGAATTGTGTGTTTTTGTCGTATATTTTGTAGATTATACTTTCAATTAATCGTTTATGTTTTCTTATTCATTGTTACTAATGTGTTTATGTTCAGTCTTAAAGTCATTTTTGATCATTTATTTTTACATTTTTATATCGATATTATGTGTAGTGGTAAATAATGAAAATATTGTTCAAAATATTATGTGCTGAAATTCTTTTTGCAATTGATCATGTGCTGTTTTGATATTGAA